CACTCATTCCCTGACTTAGGTAACTGTAACCCTCTGTATATCACCTTTATAATAACAATAATAAAAAATTTAAAAATATGCAATTTGCTCAAGTACCTCAAGACACAAGCATAAAGGGGAATAAATGAGATAAAATGCCCAAAACTCCCAATAAAGACTTCACCTAAACTGGTCACTAATAGCTCACACCTGTAATCCTAGCTTCTCAGGAGGCTAAGATCTGAGGATCCTGGTTCAAAGCCAGCCTAGGCAGGAAAGTCCATGAGACTCTTATCTCCAAGTAACAACCAAAAAGCTGGAAGTAGAGCTGTGGCTCAGGTGGTAGAGCATGAGCCTTGAGCTAAAAAAGCTCAGGGAATGCCCCTGGGCCTTGAATTCAAGCCCAGTGGTGGGGGGGGGAGAGAAAGGGAATAGGAGACTTCACCTATAAATTAATACAAATCTGTGAAAAGTAATAAATTGCTTACTGATATCAGAACTTAAGTTATCTTAATAAGAATATTGTTTAATATTTTATCTTCTTGCTTAAACATGAGAACCTTGAAAACAATATATTATGCCATAAATCTAGATGAGAAAACTACTTTTCATTACTTACATAATATTAAAGGAAAAATTAATTTCCTTAGAAAATGTTTAAACAATGAATGATTACAAAGAAGGTTATCTACAGTTCTATTTTCATGCCTCCATATATTTTAACAGTCTCAGGATTTCCATATCAATTACTACAGTCAAATATCAAGGGTTGAAAAATGTGATTCCATTAAATGTATGTGTCTCACAAAAACTGATATTTAAGGATAAATATGAATTGTTCAACAAGTCACCTTAAAGTAAACTTTAAGAGCCTGTTTAAAATCTTTGAGTATAATAAGTATGATAAAGAACAACTGTTTACAATCAAATGAGGTCTCTATTCAAAAAATATGTTTTTTGCTTCATATAAACTATGCTGAAATGGACTGGTAAAAAAAATTTGTACATATTTATTTACAACACATCAGTCATTACCTAATAAGCCTCTATTACTGCAAGTGTTAAATACAGAAAAGAATCTGGTTATTAATTGATGTACTAAACACCAGGGAAAATGACTATTATATTTTCTTGTATAATCATTTGCCATTTGACAAACTATGTGTCAAACTCCTTCCATTCTTCCCATGAGAGGTACTTAGGAGGTTCGAACTTTTGTGTTTTTCATTTGATACAGGATTAAGCAGAGCTTAGCCCAACTCAAAAGCAAAATTCCTTAGGAAATAAAAGGCTAAGAACATTCCTTATTCACAAGTACAATTCCATTGTCAGGGAAATCACTAATGCCAACTATCAAGGGAAATTGTCTCATTCCTGTCGAAGGATCAGCTAAAGTGAAATTGCTTCTCTAGTTGCTAGGAAACAACCAACTCATTTCATGCCATTACCAGACCCTACAGAAGAAATCTGGCACCTGCTTTACATTTGGGAATACAAGAGATTGAACTAAAAGCACTGAAACTGCAGCCAAGATTCCTGTTCTCCAGGGTTTACACTGTGACCACAGCAGGGTTTCACATCAGACTAGCCTTTGAAGTTTTCTTTTCTGCAGCTCTTTTTCTAATAACTAATATTATTTTTTCAAACATCCCACATTTCCAAACTCAAAGATTCTAAGGAGACTTCCTTGTTTACATTAAACGAATTACATCAGTGTTGCACACAGAATTTAGAAGAAAACAAAATACTTCTCAGGAAGTGTTATTCATTGATTGATATATACTAGACATTTATGCCTTTAGTTATTGAAATCAAAATGAAAAATAAAGAGAAACTGCTTCATATATTGGGGAAATGAAATGCATATTGACAAATCCAGCACTCAAAATGACATTCTAGCATTTATCTGCCTAAATATATTAAAATCTAATAGTTTTCTTAACAGATCCTAAAGTTTAATTTCTTTTTTGTATGGCCTGACAAGCTTTTCTATGCTGTATCAATGTACTCATGAACATATGCCATATTTACTCAATAGTCTTTTCCCCTCTAGCAGATCAGATTGGAAGGTAGGGTATGCAGAAAAAATACTAGAAATTGGAAAGCTGAAACTAAGACACATATTATTACCTCTGTATCCTAAAAAATAACTAACCTTCAGATGTTGTACATGATGGCAAAAATAGTCCACAAAATATCTTCCTTCACTTAATTATAATGATCCTAGAAGGATTTCTGTTCTTATTAACAATTCTGATGTTCACCTCATTCTACTTACTCATGTCTACATTCTGGGCTCTATAACCTGCCCTAGGTATGACTTTAAACTCTTATTTTCAAGCAACACAGCTCACTCCACTACATGATGCCTATCTACTCCTGACCTGACTCTTCATCACTCCACCTAGGGTTGCCAATTCAGGACTTACAGTAGAGTAAACTCATTCAGTTACATTTGGGTATCAGATACAATGAATAGGTTTCAGTATTGGTATGTTCTAAATTATTCCTTGTACACAGTGAGTGTGATACTAGTTTAGATTATATAACAAGACTATGTCTCAAAAAAAAAAGAGGAATTTGAGAGTTCATTACACAGTTCATCTGTTACACATGCATCTCAAAATGAATATAGAAATATGTTCTACTAGAATTGTCAACCTATGGTGGAGTTCTAGATTCAAAGTAGAATCTCAATAAATCAGAGTTAATTGTAAATTGATCGGGTAAATACAAATTACCCTTAATATTTACCTAGATCATAATTATAAACTTAAACTTAAGAGAAAAGATAAAATTTATTCCAAGTAAACTATAAATAAAATTTACAATCTGATATATTTAGCTTATATAAAGTATATTCTTCCTTTCTTAAAAATAAGGTTAATTGAACAGATATAATGTATGAAACTATAATTATATATACTTAAAGTAAAATAAAGTTTTACTTTTATAAAACATTTTGAAATCATTAAGTAACAGATTTTTTTCTACATCTGAGTAATTTCTAAACTGCTCCTATACTTCAATATTGTCTACAATGAGATTAACCAGTCTAAGGAAGGTAGTTTATAAGCCAGGTGACGGTGGCTCATGCCTACTCAGGAGGCTGGGATCTAAGGATCACAGTTCAAAGCCAGCCCAGGCAGGAAAGTCCATGAGACTCTTATCTCCAATAAACCACTCAGAAAATTGAAAGTGGTGCTGTGGCTCAAGAGGTAGAGTTCTAGCCTTGAGCTGAAGAGCTGAGGGGCAGCACCCAGGCCCAGAGTTCAAGCCCCATGACCAACAAAAAAAGGGTAGCTTATAAAACAGATTTGCTCTTACAGACTCAACAAAGCAACATAAAATAAGACACTGAGTTTTTCTATTTTTTAATATCTTTATTAGCTTTAAGTAGCTGTATAAAGCAGTTGCCATTCACCAAAGCAGTTTATGAATACAATTCATCTTGATCAATGTCATCCCTTCCAAAATGTTCATCTCCCATCCCACCTCACCCCTTCCCTTATTTATCTTAATTTTAGGTTATGTATTGAATTTTTTGCCAATTAACAAGGCAATTTATATATTCAATGCATCTTGGTCTGTGTCATCACTTCAACCACATCTCCATCTCCATACAACCCACCCTTTCCCTTATATTTCTCAAATCTATAGTATATAATACAATGAATTCGGGCCAGCATTTGCCTTCATTCCCCCTTCATTCTTTTATCACCCTCCCCTTGACCCTATCCTTCTCCCTTGCAAGAAGCCAATTCCTGGTACTTATTTTATTGGGCTTTGATTTAGTCTTTTTAAAGAATTATACTATTATACTATATATTAGATTGGGCTTTGATTTAGTCTTTTTAAAGAATTATACTATTATACTATATATATATATATATGCTATATATATTGTATTATACTTGTGCTCTCTATAGAGTCTATTATACTTCAGTTAATTTATTTGTAACCCCTTGCTTACAACCCAGTAGTAAGATTTAAGGAAGATTTAAGGAAATGGAAAAACCTTCCATGCTCCTGGATTGGAAGAATTACCATTGTGAAAATGGCAATACTCCCCAAAGCAATTTACAAGTTCAATGCAACTTTAATCAAAATCCCAACAACATTCTTCAATGAAGTAGAAAGAGCAATCCAAAAATTCATATGAAATAACAAATAGCAAAAGCAATCCTTAGCAGGAAGAACAGTGTTGGAGGAATAACAAAACCAAACCTCAAATTCTATTTCAAAGCCATAGTAATGAAAACAGCTTGATACTAGCACAAAAATAGGCTTGAGGATCAATGGAAAAGAATAAAAAGACCCAGCAACGACTTACAGACCTATAGCCAACCAGTATTTGATAAGGGAGGCAAGAACAACAACAAATGGTGCTGGCAGAATTGGCTATACACACGCAGAAAACTGAAGCTAGATCCTTATATATCACCCTATACCAGAATCAATTCCAAATGGATCAAAGACCTCAATGTAATACCAGATACCATGGAAATATTACAGGAAGTGTTAGGAGGAACTCTAGGGCTTCTAGGCACATGTTGAAATTTTCTAAGTCACAAGAAGTCAAAGCAATACTGGATAAATGGGCTTGCTTCTGACTTAAAAGTTTCTGCATGGCAAAGTATAGCTAAAAAGATAAATAGAAACCTACAGAAGGGGAGGTTTTTACCAGCTATACATCAGACAAGGGTCTAATATTCAAAATATACTTACAGCTCAAAAAATAAACCCTCAAAGAAATACAACTCAATTAATAATGGGCTAATGACTTAAAGAGATAGTTTTTAATACTCATAAGCAATGGGCAGGAGTAAATCAGGTAAGGGTGAAAGTTGCTGCTGGTGCCACGTAACTCATTAGGTGCTACAGTACCCATTGACTCAGCCCATCAACTGAATTCCTTTGTAAAACATCCCAAATGGAAAAACTTTAGCAATTCTCTAATCATCAAATGAACTTACCACAGCCTTGACAAAATAAAACAGTATTTAATGCAATGCTCTTACCTGCCTTAACAATTTCTCAACAGCTGACATTACCAGAAGGCCTCTCCAAACCACTGGTGCTGTCTCCTCAACCAGGAAGCCCATAGACATACTACAACAATAACCAAAGCACAACAAATTGTGTTAAGTTACTGTATGTTATTTTGAAAAGTAATATAAAACTAAAGGAATATGCTTACCAAGCAATACCATAATTCAAAAGAGGTCTCATTAAGTTGTCTGAAATAAGAAAAAAAAAGTCTTTCTGTTAGAATAAACTGTTATGTATAAACATGCTAAATTTTTTCACTTTAAAAATTGTTTTGACAAATAATTACAAATACATGTTTGCAATATAGAATGGCTAAATCAGATTAATAAATATACTATTACCTAGTATACTATTTGTGGCAAAATATTTCACTCTACTTTTAGCAATGTTGAAATACACAATAATGTGAGCGATAGCCAACCCTATTTTTTTTACTTGAAGAATAAGAGTTTGAAAAATATGAAAATACAAAAAGTTCAAAATTCTATTGTGAAATTTGACACAAGAAATTACATCTAATTTTAGGAGATAAAAATCTATGGCTAATAATCATGAACCCAGGCTCTCCATTCTTGGTTTTACACACTATCCTCCTTAAAAAAAAAATCTTGAGTTACATGGCTTTAGCTTATAGTGGGTTTTTGTTGTCGTTGTTGTTTTGTCGGTGTCAGTTTTGAACTCAGGGCATGGCGCTGTCCCTGAGCTCTTCAGCTCAAAGCTAATGCTCTACCACTTGAGCCACAGTGCAACTTCTTGTTTTCTGGTGGTTAATTGGAGATGAGTCTCACAGATGTTCCTGCCCGGGCTGACTTTGAACCACAGTCCTCAGATCTCAGCCTCCAGAGTAGCTAGGATTATAGGCATGAGCCACTGGTGCCTGGCTTTATAGTGAGTTGTTTATTTTTAAGACATACTCCTCAGCCATGGAGTTTCCCTATATTTAAAATACATTCATTATTTTTGAGAGACAGGTAACAGAGTAGAAGGTACAGAGCTTTCTCAAACTCTCTCCCAGTTTTTGTCTTCTGCTTCCTCCCAAGTTGTATAGTTCATTTTCAACATAGTATCTACTGAATATACCTGCTGCATTTGTTCATCCTTTTTTCACTTTGGATATGTTTCTTTTTTTATTAAATCCTTACAACAACTCCATGAAACAAGTGACTTATCTGTTTAAAGCTGAAAAAACTACAAGAACATCTTTAGCCTCCCCTCCAAACAAGCTCTACTTGATCCCTTTTATCATTTACTCCAGCATTTAACATAACAAAATGTTCTTTTGTATGATTTATCCCTCACCAACTAAATACTGTGTTCCTCTTGCTTATTAACTGCTGTTCATAAACATGTTCATATAAATGCCAAAGCAATTTTATAATGTCAAAAGTCACAAAGATAAACTACATCCTGTAGTTGATCATTAAGTATGTTTAATGCAGTAAATTATTATTATGAGAAATTAACAACTTGCTAGCTATATTGGACAAATTGTCTTCATATGAACTGTGAAATCTTCAAATGATATGTAAAATACTTAAAGAATAGATAAATTAGAAAAGTGAACTATCCAAAATTAAATAATAAAGTAAGGATTTGAATTTCTTCATAAGTCCCATATTCTTGTTTGTTTGTTTTTTGTCAGCCCTGGGGCTTGAACTCAGGGCCTGGACACTGTCCCTGATCTTTTGCTCAAGGCTCTCACACTCTACCACGTGAACGACAGAGCCTCTTGCAGCTTTTTCTGTTTATGTGGTAGTGAGGAATCTAACCCAGAGCTTTATGTGTTCTAGTCAAGGACTCTACCACTCTACCACATTCCCAGCCCCTAAGTCCCATATTCTTTCCACACACATGTCTAAAGAAGCAGAACGTTTGTGGTACTTCAACATACCATAATAGTCAATAGAAAATCTAGTTATAGAGGATAGGTTTCCTTCCATTTCTTAAGGATTCCCAGACAAGCTCCCCAAAACAATTCAGCAGTACCCTGAAAGGTTATTCAATAAAAATAATCTCTTTCATCCTCTATTGCTTCTCTTTTTTTCTTGTTTAGAAGGGTCTGTCTATGTTGTCCAGGCTGGTCTCAAACTACTGGGCTCACAGGATCCTCCCACTTTAACCATCTTTCAAATCAATGAAAATGTCTTATGTAGGGTTAATACAAGTCATAACTGCAATTGATTTTTTTTGTTTGTTCTGGAATATTCTGGTTATCTTCAACCTTTTTTTTAATATGATGTTTCCAGCTTTCTTATCAAATTTATCTGATGTATAAAACTTTTTCTTCTGTTAGTATAACTGGCTTCTAAAACTCTGAAATTCATTTTAAGCAGGAATAATACAAGAGAATCAGGAACTGGAACTTGAAACTTACTAGCAATACATAGCCACCAATAGTGATAAAAAGAAGATTTAGGAGCAGTAGTAGACGGGAACAACATACTAGGATGGAAAAAAAAGATAAAATTATACTTCCCATAGAACCAAAAATGCCTGCTAATGTGTATATTATGCAATAAAAATTCAAACATTAAAAAATTTTGGTAAGCTAAGTGTCAGAGGCTTACTCCTGTAATCCTAACTACCCAGGAGGTTGAGATCTGAGGACTTGGATTCAAAGCCAACCTGGGAAAACAAATACAGGAAACTCTTATCTCCAGTTAACCAGCAAAAAGCCAGAAATAGAGTTGTTGCTCAAGTGGTAGAGAAACAGCATTGAGCAGAAAATCTAAAAGACAGTACCAAGACTCTGAGTTTAATGCCCAGTATTAGCATACCAATTTATACATGCGCACACATACACACAGGATTTAATTTGAGAGAAGAGGAAAGACACAATAAAAATGAAAAATTGTTGGGCACTGGTGGCTCACGGCTATAATTCTATCTACTCAGGAGGCTGAGATATGAGGATCGTGGTTCAAAGCCAGCCCGGGCAGGAAACTCTGAGAGACTCTTATCTCCAATAAACGATCAGTAAAACCAGAAGTGGCGCTGTGGCTCAAGTGGTAGAGTACTAGCCATGAGCTGAAGAGCTGAGGGACAGCGTTCAGGCCGAGTTCAAGCCCCACAACCAAAACAAAAAAAAAGAAAAGAAAAGAAAGAAAAATTACTTTAAGAAGGCTGCTAAAAATAATCTAACATAATAAAATGCAATAATAAAGTCATAGCTGCAGAATGTAAATAAACAAATTCCAATGAAAATTTAAATCCACAAAAGATAATGTATAAGTAATAGGAGGCCATTCCCTCCCATAAATGTTTTTGTATAAATGTTTTGTACTATCCCACCCATTTAGTTTCAGAGGTTGGAGAGTTTATACAAATGATTTATATATTAGAATATACAGTTAAGAAGTGAGAGTAAAGGAAAGAAAAGGAAACAGTCACACCACAGCAAAATGAAAGGTAAAAGAAACTGGAATTTGGGGCAGCTTTTGATTTCAGTTACAAAGCTATCATTAAAGTAGTTCTGGAACAGTTAACTGTTTTAAAGGATCTATTCTATGCCAGTTAAGATTATAGGCAATGATTGCCTTATATATAATTGATATGTACCCTATAAAGGCTACCTATAAATTCTATTGTTAAAAGGATTTGAAGGCTTGTAGAATACTCTGCATAAGAAAATTCCTCCCAACCACACTCTGACATATTTATTGAATGTCTAGTATATGCCAAGTGGTGGAGTTGATGATGGGCTATAAAGACAAATACAGACACAATATCTTTTTTCATTAAATATGAAGTCTAGATAAGAGATAAACACTAATCAAACAATCACTGCACAAAAGGACACTTGCCACTGTACCCAGTCCTCAAAAGAAGGCATAGAATTTGGACTAGTCCTAGGTATCTTTGCAATAAAGGAAATTTCATAATTCAAAATGTACCTAATAAAATTGATAGTTTTATACATCATTATAGGTCATTAAAATCCAAGTAAAGATATTGGAAGTCTTACTGAAGAGAAACATCATTTATGCCTTTGTTATTTTTATAATAGGATCTCATATTTTGGTTCAGGCAGGCTTGGACTGGATCTTCCTATTAAACTTCCAACATACCTAGGACAGCAGACACACACCAATGCATCCAACATTTTACTGGTTGAGACAGAGTGTCATGAAGTTTTTGTCTGGGCTGGTAAACAATGTTCCTCCAGGTATGAGCCACTGTGTCTTTTTTTCTAACAAGCATGAAGTGTTATCATGTTGTAATCAAATATAGTTTGGAAAGGGGATGTCTCAAACTTTTCTTCTCAGGCTGCTCTTAAACTACAATCCTCTTATTCTCAACCTTTCAAGTATCTCAGATACTTGATAGTAAACTTGTAGTATATAAGATACTACACTCAGTTTTGGTAGGTATCAATATCTAGAAATAAAAATATATCTAGCTATAGTTATAGAGAGAGATACATATATAGATCTTAGACACACTTTATATATATGCATATATATGCATTCCAACAGGCATGAAGTGATATCCCAGTGTGTTTTAATGCTTGCTTGCTTTAGAAATCATCTATTTACAATTCTGCCCATTCTGCTATAAGGTTCATTGCTTTTGTGTTACTGAATTGTTTGAGTTCCTTATATTTGGTTATTTAAGCCTTATCACATATATGGTTTGCAAATATCTTCTCCCATTCCATCAGTTATAAGAGAAGAAAAATATAAATGTATACTACTCAATACCTGAAATAGTCTTCTCAACAATGTTATTCATTTTTAAAACAAATGCCAAACATATAAAATAATATTGACATTTCATAGCAGTTCTTGAACATTGGTGTTTTTATTACATCTAGCTCTCCATAAGTAGCTAATGAACCTCAGGTATGAAGACATCATTTTTTTCAATAAAAGTCATTCCCAAAAAATGCGATTAGGTTTTATCTTCATACACTTATGCAAGCATTGGATTAGACCAATGTCTGCTAATTCATGTTGCTAATTCTGCTAATACACTTGAGTAGTACACATTAATATTTTTCTTCTGATGTAACTGATGGAATGCAAAGTCTATATGTAATAAGGCTTAAACATCCAAAATATAAGGAAGTCAAGCAATTCAGTAACAAAAACAATGAACCTTACAGAAAAGTAATGTGCGTGCCAAGATATTGTGGAGGAATACATATTATCAATCAGAGTCAAGATAGAGTCAAAGGACCTAAAGGCCT